TACTTGAAGTTGTGATGAGCATGACAGCTCTAGTTTCAGCTTCAGCTTCGGGTGCGACTTGGGCTTTCCTTTTAGAGCAACGTGGAGCATTCTTCTATATTTGCATTTCACGTGACTTCAGTTAAAATCCATAGTATGTCCTTAATAGGATTGGAACTAAACATATATAATATATTACGTACCACCGGTTCGCGAGGGCTGTAGTCGGAGTCAACTTCTTCATTGTTGCTCCCGCCCTTTCTCTTCCTTGCAAGAGAAGGATGGGGGTCACTCGGTGAGTGATACGATCCACTCTCTGCTTCACTGAAGCTTGACAACGACGATTCCTCCGCGACTACTTGCGTGCAAATATCTTCCTCGACGACGGCCTGAGTTTCCTTACCCTTGTCACCCGTGGGTTGCGCTTCTATGGGTTTTTCCATTGATATCCTTTGAAGGTGAATTTTTATTAGATGTGCAATATAATTATTTTCTGTGATGGTTTGATAACCTACAAACTAAAAATAAATAGACAATTGCACTTAACCCCTAAGTTCCTTAATTATCAAAAAAAAAATGACAGATTTCGAAGTGCATGGAGAACTATGGTGTCTTGGTCGGTTCCATCTATGGACTACCCCGACCAAACCAACATAATTCCCCATGCACTTCGTATTATGTGATGGTTTGATAACCTAGGAACTAAATGAGGAGATGCAGGTGTATCTTTCCTTAGGAATTTTATTCTGGATCCTAGGGTTCCGGCTCGATGTTGTCCCACTAGTTCTCGCTGACGTGGGCTCACCTTGCTGAGACATTTCCTAAATAACTGGTGTACGGCAAGAAAGTTAAAAGACAATACTAAACATGTATATCTTGATTACCCTAACTCATATATTTAAAGTTCCTTAGTTATCAAAAAATGACGAAATGTTCTGGTTGCCAAGGTGTCTTGGTCGGTTCTGGCAACCGGAACAGTTCGTATTCTTTGATGGCTCCATCTCCCTAGGAACTACATCTCACATCATATCGTTATCGTTAGCAAACTCTTTAATTGCTTTCAAGCTAATTTATTTTTGGGAACCCTTTCCCATAAATACAGCAACCAAGGGTGCTAGAGATCTGCAAAATATCGTAAAAGATATGTTGAATAGAACATGGGTGCATATAAAGGTTAATAGCTAGTCTTATACTGAGTCTAGTCCCAGATGGAAAAGGCTTACAGCAAAATAGCTACTTCCAGTAGCTGGATATTAACATAGTACTAGAGTTGCTAGTGGTTCTACTGCTGGTCGGTAGGTCCAACAGCATGGGTAGGTCCAGAAGCACGGGTATGAAGATGACCATTATCTAGCTTCTGATCTTCACCAGCGTTGTTGTCATCCTGTTGGCCCCCCGGAGCTGGAATTGAATTAAACAGAAAATAGTTGCATATGGTTAATGCTCTATAACAAGAATCAACCAAGAAAATTGATCAAAAGAGACTCTATAACAAGTCACATCATCAAGATTCTGACTCCTAGCGTTACCTGGCACCGAACCACATCCCATGAACATTGACTTAGTGGTGGCACCAACCACAGATGTAGCTTTGTGCTTGAGGGACTCTATCAGGGATAGTGCAACCTCGCCCGCCTGCTCAAGGTCTTTGAGAATCCTTTTAGCATCTATGAATTGGTTGCCAGCAGCAAGAGTGGCCATCCTCGTCCTCTCCACCTCCGATCCGGCCTCCCCCGCCATCTCTGTCGTATCAAACGCTGATTTTGCATCCTCAAATATGGAGAGCTTCACCTCAGCCTCCTTGCGCATCCTCTCAATGCTGACAAGCAACTCATCCTTGCTACGTGGAATCTGCTGCTGAGTGGGATAGAACCTCCTTGAGGCGGTTGACCTCTTCGAAGGAGTCAAGCTTACACCTTAATTGATTGGCATTTGTAATAAACAGGCGTACACCTCTGCACGCGTCGAGCAGTGGAAGGGTGGGGAGATCATGTTCGACGCATGCAATATTAGCAAGGTGGCTGCGAAGGGCCGAGGTCGTGCAGAGGTGTACGCCTATTCATCACAAATGCCAATCAATTAAGGTGTAAGCTTGACTCCTTCGAAGAGGCCAACTGCCTCAAGGAGGTTCTGTCCCACTCCCGGCAGCAAATTGCACGTAGCAAGGATGAGTTGCATGTCAGCATTGAGAGGATGCGCAAGGAGGCTGAGGTGAAGCTCTCCATATTTGAGGATGCAAAATCAGCGTTTGATATAGCAGAGATGGCGGGGGAGGCCAGATCGGAGGTGCAGAAGACAAGGATGGCTGCTCTTGCTGCTGGCAGCCGATTCATATACGCTAAAAGGATTCTCCAAGCTCTTGAGCAGGCGGGCGAGGTTGCACTGTCCCTGATAGAGTCCCTCAAGCACAAAGCTACATCTGTGGTTGCTGCCACCACTAAGTCAACGTTCATGGGATGTGGTTCGGTACCATGTAACGCTAGGAGTCTGAATCTTGATGATGTGACTTATTATAGAGTCTCTTTTGATCAATTTTCTCGGCTGATTCTTGTTATAGAGCATTAACCATATGCAACTCATTTCTGTTTAATTCAATTCCAGCTGCGCGGGGCCAACAGGATGACAACGACGCTGGTGAAGATCAGAAGCTAGATAGTGGTCCTCTTCATACCCATGCTACTGGACCTACCCATGCTGTTGGACCTACCGACCAGCAGTAGAACCACTAGCAACTCTAGTATTATGTTAATATCCAGCTACTGGAAGTAGCCATTTTGTTGTAAGACTTTTCCATCTGGGATTAGAATCGGTATAAGACTAGCTATTTACCTTTATATGCACCCTTGTTCTATTGAACATATCTTTTATGATCTTACGCAGTTCTCTTATGAAGATGCCCATGCACACCTGCAACAGTTCCTAGAGATCTGCAGCACATACACAGTAAAAGGCGTCATCCCAGATGCCGTTAGAATCAGGTTGTTTCCCTTCTCCCTCGTGGGGAAAGCAAAGCAGTGGTTTTATGTTAACCGTGCTACGATCAACACTTGGGACAGATGCTCTACAGCATTCTTGTCTAAATTCTTCCCGATGGGCAAAACTAACGCCATTCATGGAAGGATTTCTAGATTCCAATCAATTCCCGAAGCTTGGGAACGGCTCCAAGAGTATGTAGCCGCCTGTCCTCATCATGGGATGGATGCCTAGCTAATACTCCAAAGCTTCTACAATGGGCTCACACCCACGTCCCGTGACCACTTGGACACGGCAGCTAGAGGAGCCTTCTTTTCTAAGACAGTCAGTGGAGCCGTCGAGCTTATAGAAAAGATAGTGTCCAACATGGGCTGGAGCGAAGAACAACTCCAGTCCCGTCAGCAAGTCATGCACACCGTCAAGGAGACGGAAATGCTCGCTGCAAAGCTGGACCTTCTCATGAAGCGGTTGGATGAACATGAGAAGAAGCCTCAAGGCACCGTTAAGGCCTTGGATTCACACGTTACGTGTGAAGTTTGTGGCAACATGGGTCATTCTCCGAAAACCCATGAAGAGGCAATGTTCATGGGGAACAACAACAACGGGTTCCGTCCACAAGGAGGCCAGGGGTGGAACCAGCCCCACCCATATTTCCAAGGAGGCAATAACAGCGATAACTTTTCTAACCAGCCTTCCTTGAAAGATCTTGTTTTTGTGCAAGCCAAAACCACTAATGCTCTTAGTAAAAAGATGGCTACCAATGATAAGATTTTAGAAAACATAAATGTTAAGTTAGACGGTTTTGCTTCCGCATTTCAAAACCAGCTAAGTTTTAATAAGATGATACAAACACATCTGGCGCAGCTAGCTGCCTTAGTTCCCGCTAATGAATCAGGGAGGATTCTGAAGCAACCGGAACCTTCCGTTGAAAATGTTAAGACGATCACCACGAGGGGAGGTAAGTCCACTCGAGATCCACCGTATCCTAACTCTGCAGGAACAAGGAGCAGCAACAACAGCTAGGAAGCGTCGCTTAACAACACAACTGCGATAGAGGAGATAACTCAACCTGAGAGGATTGTGCCGCAGGAGTATTGCAACACAAGGCTACTGCCATTCCCCAGAGACACAAGAAGCTATCAGTGGACGAGCAGTTCGTTCGTTTTGTTGAGGTGATCCAAAAGATCCACATACACGTGCCGCTGTTGGATGCCATGCAAGAGCCCACCTATGCACGGTATCTCAAGGATATCCTCAACAACAAGAGGCCACTACCGACAACTGAGGTGGTCAAGCTGATGGAGGAATACAGCAATGCCATACTCCACAAGCTCCCCAAAAAGAAGAAGGATCTGGGGTGTCCCATGATCACTTGCTCGATCAGGACACAAAAATTTGATTAGGCCCTCTGCGACTTTTGAGCTAGCGTAAGCGTCATGCCCAAGGAGGTTTTCAACAAGCTCAACTTCACGGTGTTGGCACCAAAACAGATGCGCCTGCTACTGGCTGATTCATCGGTCCGTTACCCAGCTGGGATAGCGGAGGATGTGCCGGTTAAGATACGGGATTTCTTCATCCCGGTTGACTTCGTGATACTGGATATGGAGTCAGATAAAGAGACGCCAGTTATCCTGGGGTGTCCGTTTCCTAGCACCTCGGAGGCCAACATAGACGTGGGAGCGGGAAGTATCCATTTCCACATTAACGGGAAGGAAGAAAAGTTGAGTAGCACGTAACCGATATCGTGAATAGTAGTGGCATTTATCTAAAATGACATATTTATAGTGGCATGGATCCAACTAACCCTCTGATAAAAGTATATATGGTCGATTGAGAGGACGCAGTCGACAGAAATCACTGAAGTTATTTTTCTGTACCTTTATGTCTAGAGTAGATTAATATGATTTCTGTGCTGATTTGTTTGAAAATCGATCCAACTAGACTGCAGGCTAACCAACTCTCTCCGAATCGCCCAAACTCCTTTAAAGTTCTGAAGCTGATCCAAATTGAACTCCAAATTTGCTAAAAAAAGAATCACAGTTCTGAAGTTATCAAGCAAGGTTGGTAGGTTTCGCCATTTGTATGCATTTCTCAAACAACAGCACATAAACTGTGAAGGAGCGCATATAGCCACACACTGTAGGTGTGGTTAACTGTCTCACTTTCCCCGACATAGCTTAGAGTGTGGTTCTCTTAGCCATTTCATTTTCTTAAGCTAGGCTGCCGCTTGAATTCTTCCCTGAAACTTTAGCTTGCACCGCTAAACTTTTGCATTTTGTACAACGTTCTGGTGGCGGTGCCTGCTGCTAGCATATGGTGCGGTCGTGTAAATGAACTTTGATAGCTTCTAATACATCGACGCTTAAAGCGTGTTCGAAAAAATAACAATGATCTCTTGTTTCATATCCAGAATATTTTGCAGTTCATTCCAGCTCCTCAACTCAGATTCACCAAGTGTCCTGTGAAGCTGAATGTCCCATTCTCCATTTGCACATATCTATTTAACAGCTGCTTCAAGGTAACCAGACATACTGGCCATGTATGGAGAACTCGCTTCCGGTGTTCATGAGTTCATCCAACGTTTGACTGCGTGGAGCCCTATCCAGAATTGTGAAGCCCCTGAAGCATTCGACTGAAAGAGGCATCAATCATCACTAATTTACTCTCTTTCTTTCTCTCTTCCAAAAATATAAGCAGATTCAAAATTTATATCACAGAATCTATACAAGTTTTAGCCAACGAGATGCTTGGGAAGGGACTCTTAAGTAATTCAAAATTCAAAATGCAACTACAGAAGGGGCTAAAAGAAAATATTTTTCCATCTTAATTCTTACTAAAAAAAACCTAGAAATACTTATATTTTGAAACCGATATAGTATTTCTCTCTAAGCAGTTGACAGCATGGCTCTTCTGAACCCTATTCTAATATGAAGATCCACTTACAAAGCAGATATGCATTCATAGCTCCAGTATTTATAAATCCCAGCCCTCCAAATTCCTTTGGGCAACATAGTGTGCCGTATGTGATATCTCTTTTAATCCTCTAATCCCTTCCAAAAGAATCTAGCTCTGATACTGTCCATCTTGTGATGCGTTCCTTCAGTTAGCAAGTAAAATCCCATGGCACACTATTGTCTGTGTTATATCAGAGCCCCATCAGTTCCTTCACAATTTTTATCAACACTCTATGGCTCGTTGGATATATGCATGTATTCCCTGCATATACAGTTGATTGGTTTGGGAACTGAAGGATGATATGATGATACATACCATTAAGAAAGATAGAAATGATCACTCAGGCAAAAACAGAGCACCCTCTGTTCACCAAAAGTAACAGAAACCAGTGATTTAACAGGAGGAAACATTTCGTGCCCAAATACAGGAAGAATTTCATGCCAATCAAACGCGAGTACTAGACGTAGGGTTCATGACATATTAACACATTCCCGAGTAATTCCACAGGCCATCATTCGCATGTTACGTACCTTGTTGATGTTTCCACGACGGCCTGTTCTACTTGAAGCACGGCAATGGAGTCAGCAGCGGCGTCATGATCAGCACGCCCTGAACCGGTGAACCCAGCTGATGATGAGATGGTGGTGCTGGATCTCATGGAGTGCGGCGACGACCACGACATCTCCAGTTGCAAGCTCTCCGTCAGTGTGGTCACAACATCCGCCATAGTTGGCCGGTCCTGCCCAGCGGGCTCCGTGCAATCCAGTGCCAATTGTGCCACCATCTCTACAGAGCTGAGATTGCAATCATCTCGTATCATCGGATCAGCGATAGCCTCGATTCCTCTTCCGCTTGAAAGCCAGTCACGCACACACTGTGCAAGGTTCTTCTCTGTGCCATTGATGGTGACGATCGCTGTTCTCCCTGTGATGACCACCATAAGAACAACTCCGAAGCTGTACACGTCGTTGCTCTCACTTGGATGACTAGCTTGAAGGGATCTAAAAAGCATATATGCAATGCACGCTCATGGTTACTGCTGACAATGACCTGAACAAAATATTATGAATGGTACTAAACTAACACAGGTAGTCAGGAATTAACAAGTAGATAGTTATATACTCTGGGTCCATGTATCCTGGAGTGCCAGCCAGTTGGGTGATGGTGCGTGTTTCCACTGTCCCATGGATGGAAGGCCTTGTCAACCCAAAGTCAGATATCTTTGCTTCAAGGTTTGCTGTCAGAAGGATGTTTCCCGCCTTGACATCCCTGTGAATCAACCGTGGACTGCACATCGTGTGCAGGTAATTTAATCCTGCACGCATGTGTTTGTATAATTATTTCAAACATGGGATACTAGGCACAGTAAACTAAAATTTGCACTATTTAAAACTGATATGCAAATTAACTAAAATTTCTGGGTATGCGCAGTACCGTTGGCAGATCCTAGTGCAATGTTAACGCGTTGCAGCCAGGTAAGGGGTGGTTCAGGTGGATCTTCACGACCTGTGAACAAGAACAGATGGGCCTTTTGAAAATTCTGAAACTATATTTTATATTGTTTTCTTCCTTCTTTTATATATTTTTTTAACTTGAATAGAAACTGTTTTTAGTTCCAAATTTATTTTTCCTGTGATGCTTCATGACACGTACATAAGGACTCATTTTTAATTAAAAAAGTAAACCATTAACTAATCATACAATGCTTTCTATCTTGTTTTGACTAATGTGTGAATTCCTACTGTGCGTAATTAGAGTATGTTTTGTTTGATCAATGGTTGAGAAGAGGCCACATATGAATATTGCAGCAGTGTCAAACAAGCCTAGTACTGTGGTTTATGAAATGCTGCCTAGAGTATTGTGGGGGTAAAAATTTAATGTGACTAGCTACCGACCTCTGAGCCGGCCCTCCAGGGTTCCCCCATCCATGTATTCATAGACAAGGCATCGATGTTTCTTGTCGTTACAGTAGCCAATTAAGGACACCAAGTTCTTATGATGAACCCTGGTCAGGTGTTGAACCTGCAAGATACACATGGTTACATTTACACTATTTCTAATGATCCAATGATACATAATATAGATTAGGCCATGCATGCATCAAACTGTACTACAATTGGTGTCTTCGTACATACCTCTGCCAGAAACTGCTTATGATTCCCTCGCAAAGATGTTTGTGATTCAACCTTGACAGCAACGTCAGTTACATCCTCCAATTGACCAGCATAGACATGACCAAATCCACCCTCCCCAATTACATTTCTCCAGTCATTCGTGATGACTTGGAGTTCCTTGTACTTGAACCTCCGACTCTTGTATGGATCAGCTTCAGGAAGCACATCTGGATTTGAGAGACATTCACGCATTCATAGTCACTCATCCATTTTAAATAGCACTTAGTGTGCAGAATAAATGCTGCTGCATCTTTAGCCAAATGAATCCCTACGATGTTATCAATATACTGGTAATTTAGCTACAGTTACCTGGGTTTGTCTTCCTTCTCCTGTACCAAATGAAAAGTGCAGATAGGGACAGCGCGAACACCGTAGCTACTATGGCAGCAGCTATTACAAAACCTATAAATTTGTTCCTCTTGTTTTTGTTAGAAATGGGGTCGCATGTATGATTTCCACACAGGTTGGGGTTATTTCCAGTCCTAGCAAACAGAATGAACGGCGATTGGCATACATGTAAGAGATCACAATTAATATAATTCCAGGTAAATTGGCGAGATTTTAGGTGATTAAATTTCAATCAAGAATCCAACTATAGCCTCTAATTACAGGGCGCCAAATTGCAAAGGGTAATTTGCAAAAGACTGCCTGCAATCTTGTTTGACACATAAAAGATAACAGCAATTCAATGCAATAAAATTATAAATAGTATGAAATATAATGAGTTTCCTCCATCAAAAAGATATGAGAAACAAGTACAAACTTTAGTATCATCTGCCCACTGTCAGATTTTTCTTGCAGACTAGTTGGAACTGTTCCACTGAGGTTATTGCTTGACAAATCCCTATGACAGAAGAGAACTATATATCAAAATACTATAGTTTTGTGCGTTACAGTATCCAAATATACAGTATTATTTGCTAGAGAGCTTACACTAATTTTGAAAAGGATAGATTAAATGGAAGCGTAGAACGTACAGAAAGGTAAGCAATGGCATTTGACCCAGAAAGTCAGGTATTGATCCTGACAGGTTATTGTAAGATAGATCCCTGCAAACATAGCAGCATGATGGGTTGAGTTGCCAAAAAATAAAAACGCTGTAGTGTTATGTTATTATTTGAAACACAATGAAGAGAATAAATTGCTTGAATTGTACTAATATGCAGGCATAATGCCATGTCTTTAGCTAAGCTTGGACTAAGCGTCTCCAACGTCTGGCTACAGCACAATACATAGTAGCGGTTGGACCTGGACAGGACATGCTATATTATCCCTCTATTCTCAATTCTGTTCTATGCTCTAATACTCTGCAATCATGCTGTCTGCTCACACGATAGCTCTGCCCTCTTCCATTTTCTTCCCATTTCTCCTTATCTCTTGCCCAATCTGTTTTCGCTACTCCTTTTATCTGCTTTTCTACTATATTTTCCTCTCTGGATCCACACCAAGCAGAACCATGTAGAAGAAGCAACTATACCATAATATATACAAAATGACTAGTCTCGGTGGCATGATGACTCAACTCAACGTTACAAGTTGACATACATGTCTGCAACTTCTACTAATGATCACACTAAAAGTGTTGGAAAATGTATGCCTGAAATGATATATAGTAGTATGCATTACGTACAAGTGTCGGAGCAACAAAAGCTGACCAAAGGAAGCATCAATATCACCAATCAATTCGCTGAATGACAAGTTCCTGCAGTTAAGATCAAAGTATTAAAGTCAAAAGAAAAATGTACACTGTGTGATTTTCATTTTTTCTTTCTCTTAGCTTTCTGTTGAATGAAATTGTGCAAGTCAATAAAACTTCTGGCAGCATATATATGCATGCTGTGATATTGATCGTGCATGTTCTGATATTGATCGTGCATGCAGAATTAACTCACAAAGCTGTTATTCTGTGCAAACCCCTAGGATTATATTGGATGTCTCCGATGGAAGTATGAATGCAGCTCAATCCATCCCATACAAAAGCTTCGGGAGCACAAGGATCACCCTCCCAGTTCCTCTTCACAGAATACTTTGTCTGTATAGTCATCATGGCAATGGCTGTAGATATATAGCAAGCAAGTATAAAGCGGAGGAAAATACAGGTAAAGAGTGAACTACTTTTTATCATGATTTAATGACATATTACCTCCTTATTTTAATATATCATGTTTAGAACAAGCTAATTAGGCAAAAAAGGCTTAATTAGCTTGTCTTAAACATCATATATTAAAATATGGCGGTAGCAATACACAGACAAACAGACAGATGAACAAGCATGTCGATTGATTGGGAAGGGAAAAAATGTTGTAAAAGTTATAATTCATGCTACATACCATCAGAGGAGCCAGTGGAAGACTCATTCAGTGTCCGCCCTAAGAATATCTCCATGGCACTAATCAAAGGTGGAAGGTCAGAGATTATTGTTGTAATGAGGGAGATGCTATGCTGGTCTGAGCCTAGCACAGTTCCCGAGAAAACATCAGCCAACATGTGCCGTGGGCTGAATGCAGCAGCCAGCGGGGTGTTATCCACAGAAACAAGGAACTGCCGTAACAAGTTATCTGAGATAGCCTGCACCTCGGCAAAGTATAGCACAACAATGTACTCGGGGCCGATGCCAACATCCATGGATGCATCAGAACTCCATGGCAGGTCCATCCTTGAGGCATTCACCGCAGTAGATGCACTACGCATAAGATCAGAAGGTGCACCATAGGTGTCGTTTTGGGGGCTCTTGACTGTCCCATTGATTTTGTCAGGAACATCTTCCCAGCCAGGAATGTCTTCATACCTCTGCCAGAAGCGGTCGTAGCGATCAACTGGGTACCTAATGTGGTGCTCATCAGTTCCAAAATGGAAGCGATTGAAGCCAAAACTGACCGTTTCACGGAAAAAGCTGAGCAAAACTAGAGATTGTGCCACATTGTGCCACATTGGCCTTAGGTCAAGCCCTGAGATGAAAGGAGTTCCTGACCCAGTGTTTACCAAGCAAACCTGCAAGAATTCAGAAGGAGACACTGCAATCGTCTCATGGACATATGCTCTGCTGGAGTTGGTAATGTTCACCTTGACCCAGTAGTTGGCCCCAAGATAGAGATCAAAGGCAGGAGGTGAGTTGAAAGCATCGTAGTTGCCATACCCAAAGGTGGCCCTCACAAGATACTTGCCACCTCGTGTTAGCTGCTTGAGCGTATAGCAGTTGCGAGTTCCATTGGGAAAGTAGCGGACAGTTGTGTACCGTTGTGCAAGATCCCTCTGCAGGTTGCCAACATCAACAGTGTGAATAAACCCTGTATTTGTGAAGCCCACATCGGCTACATATGTTAGATTTGTCTTGAAATCTGGGTAGCTTGGCCTCGTGATATATCCACAGTCGATGCTTATGAAACCTGCCAAAGCAACATATGAAGATCAATATGAGAAATCAGTTCAACTCTATACATAATACAAGAGAAGAGGGCTTACCAAGATTGTCTAGTTGACCATGGATGCAAAACAACAAGCTTAAGGTGACCACAAAGGCGGCCTCCCACTGAGACATTGAAACATTCAAAATTACATTCTTCTGTTCCCGATTAATAGTGTATATAGTAACAATGAAGAATACGATCCTCCAATGCACCTATGTATAGCTAGATTTCTAAAGTGTGGTCCATTTTTGTGCAATAAAGTTCAAGCCAGTGAAAGCTTGCCATAGTTCCCATAAAAAAACTATGAAGAATACATCAAGAATATAATAATATCTAGGATATAAACAATTAAACAAGGAACAAAGCTCATTTCTATAAAAGAAGAAAACAAACATGTTCCATCGAAAACATCTGTTTATGCCGTAGCATTATATATTACAGAACAACCTATCACAGACAACATGATGGCTCCAGCTACCATTAACAGTAAAATGCTCATCAGTTGAAGGTCCAAAAGGGACTAGTTCATCGAGATTCTAATCTAAAATTGTTTCAGAGACATATTCTATGCCTGGTAATTGGTAAAGCAACATCTTAGATATATCTAAAGAAATCGGAATTGGTAAAAATATCGCAAATCGTACCTTGGGAGACCTTGGTCGAAACTTTTAACCATCGGATCACGCAGAGATTTTTGAAGTGACTTCTTCATCTCCTTCTAAGGTGACTCCCGCGGCCACCGAACTCCGGCAAGCAAGCTGGATTAGGTTTTCTTTGGGTTGGGGATGCGGGTTGAGAGGGGGTTCAGGGGCGGGGATGGTGATGGTGATGGCGCCGGTAGGGTGGAAGAGGGCGGCGGAGGCATCGGGGGTAGGAAACGGTTGGTGGCATTGGGAGGAGAAGGAGACGGGAGACCGGCTGGACTCGCCGGCGGGCGGCGGCGATGGCGACGATGAGGCCCATGCCAATCTTTGCGGAGGGGGATGGTTATGTTGTAGAGTTGGTACAGATCTCAGCCACCGGATACCAATCTGATGGTAGGAAAAATTGTTGTTTAAAATGGTGGGAACTCTCGGTCCATAAAACCAAACTCGTACTATTATATACACATCCAACTACAACTTTCTCTATATCTATCTAGATTCGTTATACCAGGATATATTATATCTTGGTACTAAGTTATCTTTTTAAGACGGAAGAAGTAAATTATCGTGGCTGTTCAAACTTTGAGCACCAATAATTTCATGCAACTTCCTCCCTTAGATTCCATGATTCTTTAAATTTTTATAGATTTCACTATTAATAATTATAAAAGTATTTAGTTGAAAGTTACTGAACAAGAAGATATATAGATTTGTCTTACTTCTATTTATTATATGTATTACAATAGGAAAATATAAGCAAACATATATTTTGGAGGAGAAAAATTATGGGACACTATCCCCCCGTTATAGTGGGACAGTAAACGAATATATCCTACAACTAAGGCCCGGGTTAGTTCCTAAAATATTTTTTCCAAAAACGTTGCATCGAATCTTTGGATATATGTATGAAGCATTAAATATAAATAAAAAGAAAAACTAATTGCACATTTTGCATGGAAATCGCGAGACAGATTTTTTTGAGCCTAATTAGTCCATGATTAGCCATAAGTGCTACAGTAACCCATATATGCTAATGGCGGCTTAATTAGGCTCAAAAGATTCGTCTCGTAGTTTCCATGCGAGTTATGAAATTAGTATTTCCATTCGTGTCCAAAAATCTCTTCAGATATCCGGTTAAACGTTCGATGTGACATTCAAAAAATTTTCTTTTCGTCAACTAAACACACCCTAAATCACCTTTTACGTGTGCAAAGGATGTCAAACTCTATCTGGCCAGTGTCATCCGGCCCCACATGATCACATTCCCACGAGGGATGGAGCAGCTGTCGGGAGGCAGCTCGGAGTCGGGGTTGCCGCCACACGCCTCATCCTCGAATTCAGGGAGGATGCAGCCGTCAGGAGGTGGTTCGGAGTAGGGTCACCGCCACACGCCTTCTCCTCGGATTTAGGGACAAAGCCGCCGTTAGGAGGCAGCTCGGAGTCAGGGTCACCGCCACACGCCTCGTCCTCGGAGTCAGGGACGATGCAGCCGTCGGGAGGCAGCTCGGAGTCGGGGTCGCTACCACACGCCTCATCCTCGAAGTCAGGGACGACGCAGCCGTCAGGAGACGGCTCGGAGTTGGGGTCGCCTCCACACGCCTCGTCCTCGGACTCAGGTACAAAGCCTAAACGAGATGCACGCGTAGTATCCAAAATGAGAATTAAAAGGTATGCCGTTCTCTAGCAACCCTCATTTTGGAGGCCATATCATTATCCAAAACATCGAGGATTATATAGCCGGAGGAAGTATATGTAATCACAGTATATAAAAGTTATATTAAAGTTATATTGTTACAACACTGGTCATGCTGCTGTACTATCAATTAATTTGCTGCGCACGTTTGTATCGTCATATTTCAATTCAGATCGGGCTGAATCAGCTTATTGTTTCTCTATTTTGTGGCTTCCGCAATTATATGATCATCATTTCCTTTGCAATTTTACTTTTTTTTTCTCTAGGAGTCATTGCTCTTAGGCTTCAATTATGTTGTGCATATACAATTTCTTGGCTTGAGAGTTCAAGAATGATACTAGGTTGGCACTCTTAGATGGCGGCAGATTTGTTTCAAAGGACAGGTAATCTTATTTTCTCTCACCCTTTTCTTATGTATCCCTTCTCACTGGGTGTCTAGGAGGTCACTTCTTCAGCTGTTTGGAGTTTGATTTGGCAGTTCAGTGGTGACTTTGTTGCACATTAGCAACGCCTTGTCACGCATAGCAGCGATCGGTGTGGTCTTAGTTTCTTGGAGTGTGTTGGTGATGTCGGTGTGTTTTGTTTTTTTTTTCTTTTTATAGTCTCACAGGATTGTAGTTTTGTAAAAAAAAAATTTCTATATCAATATGAAATATCGCATCGTCTGGTGGTGTTCCTTTTTTTTTAAAAAAAACACACAACAGGTGGTGTCAAGAAAAGTAAAAAGGAGAATTACAGAAACCACCTCAAATTAATATCACCCTGAGTTTGAGATTCCCTTCTATAAGATGATTTGTTTCAAATACTCCTTCCTAATTCACCTTGGTTTAAGATTCCTCTCCCCCCCCCCAACCCCAAATTGCCGTTGCTCACCCATTCTCGTAACACAAACCCCATATCACTTGTATGGATAACAATAAGCAAGAAGCCGTGGTTGTCATCATATCGGCCATGCATGCCCTATATGATACGACCGTGGCATTCTGACTCATGGCGTCTAACACGTCGTTGGACAGTGGTGGTCTTCGCATCTTGATTACTGGAAGATGAGTTGTTGTGTTTGCTTCATGGGGTTCAAGCGGTTGATTTTCTTTAGTAGATTCAAGAAAAGGAAGATGAGCTCGGTGCAGTTTATGTCACTGAGAAATAAGATATGTTTGGGATATGTACATAAAGAGATGCACTAAGTCATATAACACATGGAAAGAGGAGTCTTTTACCCCTATGCCATTAAGAAAGTTGGAGGTTACGCGTGTGCCACAAAAAAGTTTTGAGTCACCTATATGCCATGACACAAACTTTCGTTTACCCGTGTGCCATTCCATCCACCTTCTGTTAGATAATGAGCTCTGACATGTGGGACCCACGTATAAAAATGACTAAATTGCCCCTGAAGCATTTTCATCTCACTACTCTCCCGTGCAATTTCTCCGGTGCCCTAGCCTAGCACACCGCCGCCGCCGCTAGTCATCGCCGTTGCCGGCACGCCGCCGCCGCCGCCATCGCCGGTCGTCGCCGTCGCCGGCATGCCGCCGCCGCTGCCTCGCCTCGTCTATCCGGCGGCGCGCCTCCCGCCGCCGCCGCCGGTAGCCGCCGCTGCCGATTTCTCTTCCAAATGTTCCATCCAAAGTGGCTGAAATAGAGCAAGGGCAAAATAGATCTTTCAAACCTCCGTTAATCTCCGTTAGTGTTGATTCCATCCAAAGTGGCGCACAGGTAAAAGAAAGTTTGTGTCATGGCATACAAGCGACTCAAAACTTTTTTGTGGCACACACGTAACCTCCAACTTTCTTAATGGCATAGGGGGTAAAAGACTCTGGAAAGAGAGCAAAAAAAAACATGAACATCGGTAATTGAGAGGAATATCAAAACAAGGTGAATTAGGAGGAGGATATTTGCAACAATTGTCTTAAAGAGGGGGAGAATATCAAACTCATAATGATATCTGGGTTGGCTTTTCTAATTTTCTCTAAATAAAAACATCCCTCGGACAAAAGTTTTTTTAGACTGTACAACTCAAGACGCATACGAACACACACAACACCACACCACAACACACACTAGGATTGAGATTGGAGACACTAGGCCACAGTGAAGTACCACTGAACGCGCACAGGAAACGTGAAGTACCACTGAACGCGCACGCGTGTGTACCCTATTACCTAACTAGGACCAACTGAAATTGATCCCGGGGAAATTTGGAAAAATCCACTAGCGGGACACGCGAGTTGCGATCCCATGGATCGAACTCGCGTGGGCTGCCCGGACACACGCGTAGCTAGCCACCCGAGCAACGGTCGGTCCTCCCCTCGGAGGGGGGTTAGGCACCCTTTAGGGCTAAAGTTCCTGTTTCATCCATGGGTGGGTTAAATGCTAATGGGCCCACATAAGGCCCTCATGGGCAGGCGGCCTCACACCCGATCGAGAGGCCTAGAATAGTGTGCCACTAGCAGACGACGGCAGCAGCAGCCCAGCAGGATAATCTATGATATCTATATGGAATAAGTTCACCTACCATCCCTCAACTTTATGTCAAGTTTATCTGACATCCCCAATCCCCAATACCAGAAATGTCTACCCCTTAAATGTTCAAAATCGTGTAAAATAGGTCCCATGGCAGTATATATGAGTGGTTTCGCTGAAGTGTCATGCTAATCAGCAAGGAAGGAATAAAAAATTATGGGGCCCACTTGTCATCCTCACTCCTCCCCACTCTCACTATCCTCTCTCCCCATGCCACGAGCAGGTCAGGCGGATCGGCAGCGCACGAAGCTGGCAGGACAGAGCAAGCGATATGTGGAGAGGGGTGGCGGCGGTGGGGTGCAGAGAACGGCAGAGGACACTCTATGGGAGGATGGCGCGGCAGACAGCGAGGACAATGACGATGCAGTGGGCGGAGTAGGCCGGGAGAGGATGACAACCACACGCTTGGGGTTTTATCGGGAGACGACAACGACGAATTCGACCTCCTCCTCTCCCCCTCTCCTGCCAGTCTCCTCTCCCACTTCTCTCGCCGGTACGGCTGGCCACCTCTCCCCTCTCCCGCGGCATCACGACGACGAGCCTAGGCGAGTTGGGTGACATCATGGTGTCCGTGCTCCCGAAGAACCTCGCCTTCACCATCTCCGTGCCCTCGTCGGAGTCGTTCCACGCGTCCTCATGTTACCGAAAGGCCGAAGACGCCACCTACGCTGTTGTCTCCCGCATGCTCGGCTTCTCTACCGTCCCTCGCCGCCTGCGTGCTACGGACGTGGCGACGGCGCCGCACCGCCGCCGGCAGCAAGGTGGTAGCGCCCATCCAGGAGTTAGTGTCTGGGCTGAGGATCTCCGCCTGGAGGAGACCGGCGGCCTCTCCCCTCTCACCCGTCGGCGCGGCTGGCCTCTTCTCCCCCTTCTCCCACCGGTACGACCGGCGGCCTCTCTCCCCTCCTCTCCTCTCTCCCGCCGCCCCTCCCACCAGCTATCACAGGCTTGGGAAGAAAAGAAAGATTATGGGGCTGACATGCCGGCCCCACATTTTCTTCTACTTCACTTACACGTGGATCCCTCATTTTTTTTTATTTTTTGCTGATTAGGATGCCACGTCAACGAAACTGGGTATCCAACTGCTATCGGACCCAAATTGCACGGTTTTATATAGTTTGGAGGTGATGAAGATTTTCTGGTATTGGACGTAAGGCATATCAAACAAACTCAACGTAAAGTTGAGGGACGGTTAGTGAACTTATTCCTACAACCAGCACTAGCGAATTACTCCCTCCGTCCCAAAATATAAGCATTTAATTTTAGCATAGTGACAAGTCAAACATTTTTAACTTCAAAGAAATAAAAAAGGTCAATAATGTAAAATTGATGTAACTAGATTTATCATTAAACAAACTATCATAATATGCAACTATTTTTATTTAAAACATCATATTTTTATATATATTATTGGTCAAAGTAGTATTTCGGAGACCGTGTCAGGATAAAAGATGCTTATATTTTAGGACGGAAGGGAGTAGCATTTTGGCTTCATACCGTACGTGCGGTGCCGATTCACCGGTATGGCGGGACTCACGGGTTAATAGCAGAAATCAAGGCGGAAAAAATTAACTAGCCACCCGAGCACTCCAGCGATTTTTTGACGCGACCACAATACTCAACCTTAATTTCGTCATCCCACACATGCGCATGCATCGATCGCGACCGATCGATCGACGGTGTGCAGGCGTACGTGCAGCTAGCTACATTCATGCATGGCATGCACCAGGAGCCCGCCCGCCCGGCCGCCGGCCAAGCACATGCATGTTGGCCGCCGCTGTGACTTACGAAAGTCCACGCACGCGCGGTCCGCGCGCCTGATTCTCGCAGTGGTAGAGAGAGTCGTGGCTGATCTGATCGGGACGTACGTACGCCATGGCCCGGCAAAGCTGCCCCGAATCACGATGCTTCACTCGCGGGAGCCGACGGGGCGTCGCTCGTTGATCAGGAGAGAGTTGACGGGGGGCACGAGTGATTGGCGGATTTGGGGATGCGGCCGGGGATGAAACGGTCGATCGATCGGTTGACCGGGGGCCGGGAGGATCGTCGATGTCTCGATGATGCGCTAGGCCTAGCTAGGAGAGGTTTTTCAGGGGAGACGTCTCTCGGGCCTCGGCCCTCGGGATGCGCAAGCTTAGCGGTCACCATCGCATCACGCGCGCGTGTGGTAATCAACCGAAATAACGGCCAATCTCCTGTGAACTTTTGACTTTCCATTTTGCCAATAGATCAGCTAGCTTGCTCAGGATATATTCCGGACACGGAAAACGTAAAGCATCGTCGTCATGCAAGTAATTGACATTGTTAATTTGGTATCTACATATTATAATCATGTACAGTTACCCTCTGTTGCATATCAACACAACTGTACATTAATTGTATTACCTCTATCCCATAATATAAGGCACGATCAGAGTTGGCACGGTGTCCATAACTAATATTTAGCTTATAATTTCTCATATACTATAAAATTTGTATCAACAAAATTATAATCATATAAAAGTAAATTTAAATCTCAATATAATGATATAGTTTTTAACAAATAAAATTCATTCCATATTATACTAAGTGTTGGTCAAATGTTTTAAAGGTTAAATCTTGAAATACATGCACGCCTTATATTATGAGATGGAGGAAGTATTAATAACATGGGAGTGGATTCTAAATCATCGAGGGGATATCCCATCGTTATTTACATATGTTATCTAAATGGTCATGAAAAAAAATTTTAAAAAAACTCAATTAGATAGATTAATATGTTATAGATCATTCTACAAACATACAAGTTTCTACTAGTTGCAAGTTGCAACAAAATATAACTCATGCGGCCTTGGGAGTTCAGGGTGCAATGACGCATAATATGTGTATACTACATTCAACACGAGCTACATCCACGAGTAGAAGTTAACCAAAGATGGGCTACAGCTAAATGGTAACCAGCTTTGCTAGATCTAGCCAGGCAGGCAGAAACTGATCGAAAGGTAGTACATAATACCGGTAACTGCCATGGTCCCAATAACGATCGAATTGAGGATTGGACAAGTGAACTACACACAAAAAGGGCCGACCTACTACTACGTAATTAGCTAATCAATCTTTTCGGCTGTGCTTAATTAACGTATGTTGACCCTAGCCACGTGCATTAGTAGCATGAATGTGGAACTATCCAACAGAGCAAGCAAAGCAGAGCGATTTGTCTGCATATATGCATGCATGGAAGGATATAAGCCGTCGTCTGCTGCCTATAAATAGAACACCTCCTTTCCCTAGCCACCTCACACACCATCTGCTTGCATCTTCCCAATCTTTGCAAAGCAACAACAATCCTAGCAAGTTAAGCTAAGCACCCAGTTAGCTAAGCTAGCTATAGCAGCCATGAATTCCAAGTTCCAGCTGATATTGTCAACCTTCGTTGTCATTGCCGCTTTCACCCTGCTTCCACGTCCTTGCGCTTCCATCGAGTTCCACCGCAAGCTCTCCAGCTGGTCCAATGGCGGAGCTACGTGGTATGGTGCTGCTAATGGCGCTGGAAGTGATGGTAATTAAATACATATGTTGTCATCAGATGAGCGTTATTCTCGAAAAGAAAGTCGATCCATGCCTATATCATGCAGTGCGTCTTAACAACAATGCAATCAATATCTTTGTGTACAGGTGGGGCATGTGGGTACCAGGCTGCCGTCGACCAGGCACCGTTCTCGTCCATGATCGCCGCCGGCAGCCCTTCCATCTACAAGTCCGGCCTGGGCTGCGGCTCTTGCTACCAGGTACACATTACATATATACATATACTGAGAGAGAATACCAGCCGTATATATACGATGTACAATGAGCATATATTGGAACTTAATAAACAATGTTTCAGGTGAAATGCAGTGGAAATAGCGCTTGCTCGGGCAACCCGGTGACTGTGGTCCTCACCGACGAGTGCCCCGGGGGCCCGTGCCTCAGCGAGCCGGTCCACTTCGACCTGAGCGGGACGGCGTTCGGTGCCATGGCGAATCCTGGCCAGGCCGACCAGCTGCGCGCCGCCGGCGTCCTCCAAATCCAGTACAACCGGTAAACATCTTACACACTGTCTTCCATATGCATGCAGCGAGCAGCGACGGCGGCCAAGCGGCGCAACAGTTGCAATTGTGTCCTTTAATCGATCATCTGATCGATCTTGTCGCGTGTCAGGGTGCCGTGCAACTGGGGCGGAGTGATGCTCACCTTCGCCGTGGACGCCGGCTCGAACCCCAGCTACTTCGCGGTGCTCGTCAAGTACGAGAACGGGGACGGCGACCTCTCCGGGATGGACCTCATGCAGACAGGGGCCGGCGCCGCCTGGACGCCGATGCAGCAGTCGTGGGGCGCCGTCTGGAAGCTGAGCGCCGGCGCGGCGCTGCAGGCGCCGCTCTCCATCCGCCTCACGTCCAGCTCCGGCAAGACGCTCGTCGCCAGCAACGTCATCCCTTCCGGCTGGAAGCCCGGCGCGTCGTACACATCGACGGTGAACTACTAATGATCGCAAGCACTGCACCACAACTTGCATAGCTGCATGTGCATGTGCACCATGCATGCAGCTTTGCAATACATATATGTCTGCAGGCAAAAGGCATATATATATTGGATCGATTGGTGCAACAACGATGTGTACTTGTAAGTGTGAAATTAATAACGGCGAGATACGTACAGAGGAGGAGGCGCAGATGATTTACCAGTTCTCCCCTCATCGCTGCAGTTGTCGTACGTGTCAATGATTATCGTTATACGTGTTAATTACTGTGTGTGTGATCAGTGTTTGTAATGGCATAATAGCCGACCAGTGCTTATAAACGTGCTACTATATATGAAGTTATGAACTCAATTCACAATTTCAAATTGTACGTGTGCATATAATTAAGTATTGTCTTGACTCTGCATACATGGATGTCTCTCAGCATGTAACATGAAAAGGCTAACATTGCACGCGGTCGGCCGTGTGTGATCATGTCGATCTGTTTTATATCATGGCAAGATTTGCTATAGGACACCGAAAAATTATAGCCTTTGCTATAAGACACCCAAAGATCGTGAATCTTTTCGTGGATACGGTAAAAATGTTGTAATTAGCTACTGGACATATTCCTCCTATTATTTTATTATTTCTAGTTAAAATGGAGAGAGAAAGAGTTGTGTAAGTACCAAAATGCCCCTCTCTTTCTTTTCTTTTCTTCTCCCCTTCTTCCTCGCGCTTGCTGCTGAGCTGAGCAGAGGCGTGACGCGCGCGGCCAACGTGGCCGGTCCGAGCCGGGACGGCTCAGCCACGGCAGGGCGGCGGCGGCGGCGCATCACCAGGGTTCACCGCCGACGGCGACGATGCATGGCGGCATCCCGCACGGTGCCCGGGAAGAACTCGCCTTTGCCGCCCAGCAGCCGCCCCACACGGATTTCGTTGATGGCGCCGGTGCCCGGGAGCGGAGGCGCGAGTAGCTGAGCATGCAGTGGAGCATGGCGCGCGTACCACTGCCTGTCGACGACCGCGCACACCACCTCGCTCCACCCCGCGGCCTGGCCGCCGCCGCGCCGCACCACCCACCGGAGCGCCTCACGGAACGGCGCCTTGCAAGCGGCGTTGAGCGCCAGCATCTGCTCGACCGGGTCGGCGCGGGGTCAGTGACGGCATCGGGGAGGAGCTCGTGCATGGGCGGCGCGTGGCATCGGTATAAAAACACGGCGCGTGGCGTCGGTATAAAAAACAGAAGCGAGCAGGAAAACGTCACGGTGGACGCAGGTTTCGTGTTAATTGAGATGCGCCAAAACGCGATGTTTACAAATATATATGCATGCGGTGGCGCTGGTTCAGGATCCTAATTACAAGGGATTAGATTAATCCTATCTTCTATCTATCTGAACCAACAAACCATCCGTGCATATCCATATATCAGATGACAAGATAATTCTAGTTTATCTAACAGTTGGGGGAGTTAAAGGTGGTGTGGACGACGTTGACGGCGAGGCCGCGGTCGCGGAGGAGCTCGGCGAGCTGGAGCATCGGGGCGATCCGGCTGCGGAACAGGAACGGGAACATCGATGCGGCGGCGGCGAGCTCCGGAGGCGCCGTCAACGAGCGCGAGCGACGTGGGCGGGCACCATGACATGAGAGGAAGAAGAAGAACAAATTAAGAGAGATTGACAAGTGGGTCCATGGATAAACTTGTCTTTAACTAAAGTTTCTCTCTCCGTTTTCATCGGAAATAATAAAATAATGTTGTTGATGTCCGTCAGCTAATTACCATATTTTTTGAGTGTCCACGAGCAAATAGACGATCTTCGGGTGTCTCACAGCAAATGCCGCAATATTTTGATGTCCTATAGCAAATTTTGTCTTATATCATTTTGGGGGAAACTATTTTGACTCTCGAGGGATGACCTCTTATTTTGTTAAAAACCATAAATGGTTATGAAAAATTATGAAAAAAATTGCTAACATTCATATCACATATCTATACACGTCATAAATCATAAATCATAAAAATCTCAAGTCCAAATTCAACTCAACGTCAATATGTAGAAAAGACAAATTAAGCATATAAAAAGTAACATATTGTACGCATCTAAATTTGTTTTTTTTCTCAATGTGTAGGTAGAATTTGGACTTCATTTTTTGTGGACTAATAGATACCACTGTACTCTACATCGTTCCTTCCTAGTCAAGCAGCTTTGAAGGCTGGCTGATTCCAGCCCGTATAGGACATGAGCCCAATTTGCTCCTTTGAAAGCGCAATGAATTTTTTGTTGGGCCTAGGCCTATGCCAACCGTCCTACCATCACTACAGCTACTTTGCACTAATCTTGCGACAACACGGTGAAAGGAAAAAAAAAGAGTATCTTTTATATTTATCGGGTGATTTCTCATAAAAAATCACCCAAATCTTTTTTACCCTTGTATTTACATACAATGGACTACAAAAGAAAAATAACAAATACATATTAACTTACACATTATTTTTACCAAAATTACAGTACACTTACATGTCAAATCAACTAAATTTACAAATGTAATTTTAGTTATATAAGACTGTAATTTTATATTTTAAAGAAAATAATAATTACATATTTACTTACATATTATTTTTATCAAAATTACAGGACACTTACATGTCAAATCAACTAAATTTACAAACGTAATTTTAGTTATATAGGACTATAATTTTATATTTTAAAGAAAATAATAAGTACATATTTACTTACATATTATTTTTATCAAAATTACAGTGCACTTACATGTCAAATCAACTAAATTTACAAATATAATTTTAGTTATATAGGACTGTAATTTTATATTTTAAAGAATTTAATAAGTACATATTTACTTACCCATTATTTTTATCAAAATTACAGTCACTTACATGTCAAATCAACTAAATTTACAAATGTAATTTTAGTTATATAGGACTGTAATTTTATTTTATTTTTATTTTTTATTTTAGTTTCAAATGTCTTAATTTTTCAATGGTAAAAGAAATCAATTTTTATTTAGATGTTTAAGATATGTTAAATTTTTTGTATCGATTAGTACTTAATTTGACATGTAAATTAACATCGAGATATTTCTTAATTTGACATATGAAAATTACATACTTCACGTATTTTATTCACACGGCAAGACTAACACACCTTGACTCCCTGTCGACCTCATCCACGGGAATTGCTGCACAAATCTTGGCGCAAAGATCATGTGGCCAAAAAAAGTCAAATGCCACGAAAAAAATCACGCGGGAGATGTTTAGCAAAATCGAAAAAAAAGGAGGAAAAAGTACACCCCAAGGTCCCTCGACTTGTTATCGAGTTACAAAATCGTCCCCAACCATAAAACCAGATATATAAGATTCCTCAACTTACAAAACCATTCACTTTAGGTCATTTGGTCATTTTGACCCAGATTTTATCCGACGTAGTGGCTGTTTCAGCATGGGTCCCACACGTCCGGATGCCACGTCATCTCTCTATTTCCACTCTTCTCTCCCTTCCTCCTCTCTCTCACACACACTCTTCTCTCTGGGCAGGCCGGCCAACGAGTGGGGAGGAGACCGACGCGGAGCTCGTACCTTGTTGCGGCGTAGTTGATGCTGACGAGGAGCGCGCACTTCTTGCTGCGGACGTGCAGGTAGCTCGCCGCCGCCCGCGTGTACCCCGACGACATCGTCAATGACGGCGGCGGCGGCGGTGCCGAACGCGCTGATGAGCAGATGCTGGGGATGGAGGCACTATGGCAGACGCTGGGGGACACACTGGCATCGGCGGCCTACGCGGCGGCAGTGGCGGCGGGGGCTGAGCGGTGGCGGTGGGGGTGGCCTCCGATCTCCCCTGGCCTCAACCGCCGGGGGAGAAGCTGCGCACGGGCGGCAGCCGCCGAGGGCGTCGCGGCTCCGATCCTCAAGCGCCCTCATGGCGTCGCCATCGTCACCGCGTTCCTCCTGCCTCGCCGCCACCGCCGACGCGGGAGTTGAACTTGTCCCCCTCCTAATGTACTCGCCACAGGCGACGCAGTTCTGCCAGCCGTTCTTATGCTGCCACCACCGCCAAGCCGACGCCGACGCCAGCGGCGGCCGCTGGGAGGCGTTGGCCGAGCTGGAGGAGGACAACGAGATGGTGTGTGGTGCTGGAGGACTCCTCTCGCGCCATTTGCCATAGTGTTTTTCCCTTTGTTTTCTCTTTTCTCTTGGTATTTTTGTGTAGTGGAAGAGTTTGCTGATGTCACGTTTCTCTTGTCTTTGAGTTTGCCATGGATGCCCCCCAACTTGAAGTAAGGCAAGTTTGCTTCACAAACGGTTGCGCTGGCCATTTAGTTCATCTCCGACGAGGCATCCACATGAATGCAAGCCTCCTTCGTCGTCGACGGTGCATCTTAAAAAAGAAAAAGAAGCTGAGTTTTCATTGTTTTGTCTTGGAAGTCTCAACCTGCTTCCTTGCACTTTCATTTGAAAGCTACTCTTAGGTTCTTCATCACCATCGTCGCTATGGATCTAGCCTGCAACCTGGTGGAGAAAAGGACTTGATTGCTTTTTCTTATTTCTTAGGAGTTATTCCTAACAAACTTTAGGAGCTTATGTTAATTTGGCTACATAAGGAGCATTTTTTAAAACTGTTTATATTTGTAATTGACTCCCCACTGCGGTTAACTCGTGTTATATACTAGAGTTAATTGGATCCATGCCACTTCAAATGTGACAAATCAAAAAAATACCACTACTATTCGCGTAATCGGATAGGTGCCACTGAAAATTTTAAAAATTGAAACCATGCCACTCCGTCACTCTTTCCGTCCTCTTCGTCGCTCTTTCCATCCTCCCTGTCCTCTTTCACGTCGCGTTACTGCTGCAAGCGCTTGTAGTAGGCGGAGCTCCTCCTCGTTGGGAATGGCGGCGGCGGCGGTGGTGGCGGCCTCGCGGCTGCAGCTGCAGGCGCCAACGGAGGAAGCCACTTGAGAGAAGGATTTGCCGTCTCCTGCCACCGACGGTGTGACCGTCGCGGTGCTCTTCCTGCCGCCGCCACATCCACACCACCATCATCCATCCATCCATGGCTGCTGCAAGCTTCGACGGTGCCAGCGCCGAGGCGCTCGGCGTGCACGCGGCAGCGACGATGGTGGAGCAAGAAGCGGCGGCAGCGGATTTGGGCGGCTGCCTTTGAGGTCACTCGCGGTGGTGGGGATTGGCGGAGGCGGTCGGCCAGGGAGAACGCGGAGCAGCGCACGGTCGTGGCGAGCAACCTGGTGGTGTGCCATGAGAGGTGGACGGCGATGGAGGAGCTTGCCAAGGAGAAGCCCAAGGCGGCGGCGCCGACTGTGGCCGAGGAGCCCAAGGCAGAGGCGCGGCAAAGGAGGAGGCAAAGCCGGGCGAGCTGGAGCTGGAACCAGAGGAGAAGACTGTCGTGATCATGTCACGCCAAGGGAAATGTCTGTTCGTGACAGGTCACCAAGGATGAAGGGACCAATACAGTCGAGGCTATTGAGCGTCGCCGCCGCGTCCGAGCCGGCCGGGGCCGCGGAAGCCGAGGAGACCGTCGTCGCTGCCGCGTCCGAGCAGGCCGCGGCCGCGGAAGCCGAGGCGACCGTCGTCACGGCCGCGTCCGAGCCGGCCGTGGCCACGGAAGCCGAGGCGACCATCTTTGCCGCCGCATCCGAGCCAGCCGTGGCCGCGGAAGCTGAGGCGCCGCCATCGGCTACTGATGATTTGGATTTGCTGATGTTGCGTATCAGTGTAGAAGAAACGGAGAAGAAACAAAGGGTCCGACGGAAATGTACATGCTCGGATGGAAATCTTAACGGGAGTGGCATGTTTCAAATTTTACAAATTTTCAGTGGCATGCATCCAATATCATAAATAGTAGTGGTATTTTTTCAAATCAGCAAAATTGCAATGGCATGGATCCAATTAACCCATACTATATACTAACACCTAGTTATCTATAATCGATAAAATACATGAGTTTTTTTTTTAAAAAAAAACGTGTCGGGTACCACACGTCCACACACCCTCCCTGCCTATGTGCAGCTGTGCACCGATCGCATAGTTAGCGATCGCTCTGGGGGGATTTCTTGTGGGGGATAGCGTACGTGCGCGGGTGGCAAGTGGCAACGATTCGGATGGTGTACAGTTGAGGAGGATTATGTGCGTGACGCAGTGAGACTGTCGACTGCAGCCGCAACGCTCATCCCAAGTCACTCCTTAAGTGCTGCAGTACAGTAATAAATAAAATGCATGCTTGATAATGAATACCAGGGAGTCGTCCAGGCAGATTTTTATCGCCAGATTAAATAGGTTGTAGGTCTTTACTAAAGTTTAAACAATTCACCAATGTTTCATACTCCTATATCAAATGAAAAATTAGCACCGTAGGAAAATCAGCTGTGTTCCCTTGCTGATGTTTCTCTAATTAATTTTCTCTGACTCGAGTGCCCCAACTTAGCGTCAGCAAACGTACCATTGGAGCTGCACCTCGTAGTAACAGGACGAGGTCTTCCAGGTACAAGCTCTCCCATAAAACCTTCCACAATGCGTTGCTTTGTGCAATGCAAAGCCAGATCGGACACCTTCATACAGAGTTTATATCATAATTTCCTCTTGCTCAGTTATTCTGCTGCTGTCAGCAATGTCCTTCAGAAAGGCTGTTCTGCACCAAATTTCACAATGCTGATGATCGTTGGTTGAGCTGTGATAGCTGATAAGCACTAAGGGAGCAACCCCAAAGCCATCGCTCTTTTCACTGCGATGTCGAGAGGAGAGGTTTTGTAGTACCTGCTCATGGTAAACAATCACCAATTTCTTATCTATTTGCTGGTTACCCCAAATGAATTATTATTACTTAGGGGTGAGGAAATGCATAGAGTCCAAGTATCCAAGAGTGGCAGTAGGATCAGTGGTGGTGTGTGTTTTGGTTTCACTGCAGAAAGCGCTGGCTGCTCAGCCTGAAATCAGATATTTTTGCCTCACAATTTGCAGTAAGGATGTTCTGGGTCTTCACATCTCTATGGATCAAGATCAATGGTGGACTGAAAGACCCGTGGAGGTACTCCAATCCTACATGGATGGAGGATTTAAGCATTAGAACCATACATCGCATGATGATAGTAATTAGTAACATTGTAATAGTTGAACCATTACAGGGGAAATTAATGTTTGAACGCACATACAGACATCCCGTCAAAAACTGATGTGTACCATTAGCTGAGTCGAATGCAATGTTCCGGTGTTGCAACCAGGTAACGGGTTCAGCAAGGAAAGGCGATATTCTCATCCAAGGAGAAAAATACGAAAAAAAGACTTTGCCAGTATAAAATATGGCCTGTGACTCGTATAACCATCTTTTTTAAGCAATAACAACAAAGGAAATAATAGTTGGCACTTGGCAGTACAAAACGTTATTGGTTCCTGAACGGTGAATGCTGATTCCAGAGAGCCTGTAACAACCCATTTGCAAGATGTTCCTGAATGGTGAATGCTGATTCCAGAGAGCCTGTAACAACCCATTTGCAAGATGTATGCGAAGCATCTAGAAAAGGGGAAAAAATGAATTGAACAGGTTAGTGTGCTTAAGGTGCATGTAAAATATTACATGATTATGGGTTCCAAATAAATTTCCATATGAAAGCAAGCAGCAGAAGTATACTAGTCAAGCTCAGTTTCAAGCTTTGTCTTCCAGAAAGTACTACAGGTAGGCGTGCTAATGACTATTAGAAGCATCGAATTATAGATACAAATGCCAACTGAAATGTTTAAAACCAAGAAAAAATGCAATGTAAATAAGCCACAAACTGACATTACAAGAAAAAAACATTTAATTTATTCATTGCTATATTTCATTGGCATCTCAGCTATACCTTCTGAATACAGTATAATTTAAGTTGATAATTCCCTTCGATAATTTCACAAAGGAAGAAACCAAGGAAACAAATTTTATTATTTCAACAGTGTGAAGACAAGAACCTGCCTGTCAACTCATCTGCTATGTTGGATTATATGGTTACAGTAATAAAAGCCCTGTTACTGAAAGCTGAAGCCATAAATAAATCAATAATTCAAGATTATAGGGCATTTAACTGATTATAGGTCAGGTTACTTCATCTATCTTACAAGCTAAACAATATGCAGCACACGAGAACGCGTCGGGTTTCATACCCTAAGATCCTATCTGGTCGAAGACTTTTTAGGCTTCCAAAGCCCTGGTCTTCTTGCATAGGCAGACAAATATCATGTTGAACAACATGATGTTGGGTTGGATGCCTGTGTAGCTGTGCTCAACATTGAAAGAAAGAAAGAAATCGAATTCTTCAGCCTTTTCCCACTTTTCATGGGTACAGACCATAAATTAGGTAAACTGAAACCTCTAACGTCAGCAAGCTGATTCAGTGTTCAGTCAGATGATGAAAACACTGAACAGAGATATTCAATCATCCACACCCATCCTGCTCACCTGCTGCAAACCACATATGTTACCGTTCTTCCACTATCGACTATATTAAGATCCAGTTCTTGCTGCTGAACATTATATTGCTGAATATAAGCAATACATTTAGCAGCAAGGATTGAATCCTAATGCAGTCAACAGTGGAGCAATCTTCCTTCAGCGGTTCGGCCTAACACCACGCTCAAATCGTCCTACCTAGCTGCTTGCACGGGCAGGGGATGAGACGGGCACGGCTCTGCCTCCACGAGCAGCTGAGCTCCGCGCGGAAGGCAGCATAGGAAGGAGGCGAAGCGGCGGCGGCGGCGGCGGCGGCGGAGGGGAGGAGGGAGAGCTAGGTGATGTCTAGGGTTAGAGGGGGGGGGTGAGAGGTATATATGGATCTATGCGGAGAATCAGGACCGTACAATTGGAGTAGTAGAGATCTGAAACATTTATATTATTTTTTTTGGAAAAAATTACTGGGTCATTAAGCCCGCAATACTACAGCCCAGCCCAGCCCACTTTGCTGAAAGAGAAGGAGACCCGAACATTCTACAGCCCACGAGAGGGTCAAGGCCTCGAGGGTCGAGTAGAGCAACATGTTTTTATTGTAGGAAAAAGTACACCAAAGGTCCTCAACTTGTCATCGGGATAAAAAAACATCCTCCAACCGCAAAACTAGATATGCGGGGTCTCTTAACTATACAAAACCAGTCACCCAAGATCCTTTGGTGGTTTTGACCCCGGTTTTAGTCTACGTGACGGCTGAGTCAGCGTGGGACCCACATATCAGGTGTCCACATCACCTTCTCTCTCTGCCCTTTATTTTTTTCTCTTCTTTTTCCTCTCCTCTTTGTGGGGCTGAGCGGCGGCCGGCTTGCGAGCGTGTGGCGGCTGGCGAGGCAGCTTGCGAGCGGAGGCGCGAAGGAGGAGGCGGGAAAGGAGGAGGGCGGCGCCGCGACGGCGGCCGCCAGCGGCGGCGGCAGTGGGGAGGCGGTGTACGGGCGGCACCGTCGTCGTCCCCCTCGTCCCCGCGGGATCCCGCCGTCGTCGTCCCTCTCGTCCCTGCCAGATCACGCCGCGGCGCAGTGGCCGGCGTCCTCCTCCTCTTCTACGTGGCGGCGGTCGTTCCATGGAGGTAGGGGTGAAAACGGTACGGAAACTTTCCGGATTCCGGACCTATTTTCGAAAACGGAATATGCCGGTCGGAATTTTTTCGGAATTTTTCGGAAACGGAAACGAATTCGGAACTATTTTCTCGGAAACGGAATCGGAAATGATAAGGGCAGTTTCCGTCGGAACTCGGAATCGGTCGGAAACTTTCCGGAAATTTTCTCGGAATTACCAGAAATTTTGTGACTGAAATACCCTTGATTCTTTTTTTAAGCACTAAATAGTAAATACCATGGTGTTTGGCTGTTATTTTTCTTAAAAAAAATATTTGTTATGCAAATCTAAAATTACATAAGAATATTTTTGTGCTACATTGGGATTTATCAACAACATTACTCTTTTAAACATAGATAATTTATTCAATTGGATTTATTAGTTTGAAGGGTTTTTTATTCCGATAAATTTTCGTTACCGTATTCGCGCCTGTTCGTTTTCGCTCCGTTTTCGATTTCGATAATATTCGATTCCGTTTTCGTATCCGGGGTTTCCGATTCCGATTTCGATTCCGAAAAAAATATGAAAACGAAAACGATAAAGATGGTTTCCGTCCGTTTCCGTACCGTTTTCACCCCTACATGAAGGCCTACGCGGCAGTCTAAGCCGGCCCGGCCTTCTCCTCGGCTTCGCCGGAGCCGAGCTCTACCGGCAAGGCGCTAATTTACACCAGTATATGTGTGCCAAAATCTGTCTCATCTGTGTTATAACAATAGCTGTCCTACTAAGGACACTCTTACCTCAGCTTCTGTGGCTGACGATGCACAATTACATCATGTACTCTGCTTTTAATGTCTAATATAATGAGTTCTTAAAAAAAATGCAATGTATTGAACACCGACCAAGAAATAATCTGAGTTCTATTTTACTACTTTATACTTCATATTTGCAATTAATATGTGCCCTACCCAGCTAGGGATATTCCTTTTTTCCCGATCAAGGGCCTGGAAGCCCCCATTTCTTTTACTAGAAATGATAACACAACTTACAGAGTCTGGATAACAGTTGAAACAAGAAAGGAAAACAGCAAAGCATCACCTATGGTTCGCTACCAGGACTGACTTACGAAAGAGATAACAAGGGCTATGCCTATTACAGATCCAGCAGCCAACAGACCAAAACAGAGAGCAGCCTTCAAGGGGTTACAAAACAAAGGTGGCCTGTGGAAGCTAGGATCCCAAAAAAAAAAAAAACTCCATATTGTCAGACGATCTTCAGCCTTCTATTCTTCTCGTACCCGCCCTCCATCAATGTCTTGAGCTGTAGATCTCATTTGCTATTTGCCTTATGAGCCTGGCCCCAATTACAATCTTCTTTGGTTTGCCTCCAACTTCTGCATAGTTGCCTAGGATTCCACCTAGTAGCATGCCAAAGAGACCAGGTCAGTGGGGTCATGTGGGAGCTTTTTCTCAAAAACAAGCTTTATTTTTGGTTTTCCAAATGGTCCAAATCACAGCAGCCATCCCAACCTCCATCATTTGTTTCATGTTTTTATCAAGTTTATACAGCCACTGTCCAAACAAATTTTGGTTATTCAACACTGGTTTCAGGTTTAGTGCATAGATCACAATGTTCCACAAAAGTGATGAACCCTGAGTTCCTCTCGACACTCAAGACTGTTGTTGGCCCGATCTTTCAGTGAGTTATGATAACTACGATTTGGGAGAAACGTTGACGATCCGACTACAACCGTACGAGACGTTGTGTTGCGCCTTAGCGATCGATACACCTCTCCGTGGGTTGTTGATCTTGCCGGTGCAGATCAACCCTATTCCTGCAAGCAAATCGAAGAAACAAGCAAGAACAAGATAAAAGCAATCTGATATTGCAAATAGGAATTTAATACAAATGATAAGTTGGAGTTCCGAAGAACAAGCAGACGGACGGTCTAGCCGACACGCGCGCTGCAAGCAAGTAGCAATGGCTAAACTTTAATCTAACAAAACCCCAGAAACCCTGAAGGGGTAACTAGCTATATATAGGGGTGGGAGGACGACCTAGGGGTGCCTAGGGTCGTGCTCCACCAGCTTGGGGCGCACCCCACATGAGCCCCACCTGGGCCGGGGTCCCAAATGAAGTTACAAGCCCATAGGCCCATTACAGGTGTCGCAGCACCTTGTTTCTTCAGTTGCTGCCGACTGATATGGAATTTGGCAATGAGGCTTGATACATTGGAAAGAGGACTCCGAGAGCTTTCCATCAAGTACTCACGGGCCGAAAACGGAGGTCGTATGGAGCTTCGGCGGCCGTTTGAAGTCAGCAGTGTAGCAGGTGGCCGAATTGGATTTTGGCACTTGGAGGACTCGAACTTGATATCTTGTTGTTCATCCATGATGTGAGCAACAGATGTATCCGTAGTAGCCATGGTCACATCATCCTCCCCTTCTTCACGGAAAACCGTCCTCGGTTTTTCCATATGGTGTTCTTCACATAGTCCATTCAAAATAACCTGTTTCATCCAATCAAAACTAGAGAAACTCGAAGTAGTGTGATTAGCAATAACATGTTTCTCTAAATCCGAACAAATGAAAACTCTATGCACCAAATATATTCCTCTATCATTATATTTGCCAAAGATATGAAAAATAGCATTAGTTGGACATGGCAAATCAGACTTAGCAAATAATTTCTCCTTCAAATTATCGAGCTCACAAAAATCATCAAACTGAACATAGCCCAAAGTATTTAAAGAAGATAGCAATTTACGTTCCTCAACTTCATTAGCAATGTGAACAGCATACTTAAAATCAGCACACAAAGAAACACTAGGAATAGCATGTTCATTCACTAGTTGTGGTATGGATATAAGTGAAGCATTATCACACAACTCTTCTTTATCACAAGGAACAGCGAGTAAATCAACTTGTGACAAAGGAATTCCAGCATTTGGTTCCACTAACGGTTGCTCTACTTTTGCATGAAAAGTGGACAAATTTACTTCGTTAACAATGCACTCACCTTGATTAATTTCAGTACCATTTACTTTACCTTGGATGTCCTCTTTAGATGATGGAGGTGTCTCGAACTTGAGTGTGAACAATGGAATTGGTGGCTCTTTCATGTCTCTCTCCTCCTTTTCGTGATTATGCACTTCCTGCAAATAGTTAGTAATTGGAGGCAAAGACATAGCGTGTTTCTTTTTCATATCCTCCTCTATTTTACTTTCAGCATTGCAAGCAAGTTGTAACAAATGAGAAAGAGATCTATACTTTTCACAAGCAAGCATGTCCTGAATTTCTTTGTTAAGTCCACGTAAAAACCTCAATTCTGTAGCTTCTTCACATTCATCTAAGCCACAACGTAATAAACAAGCATGCATATCATGATAGTATGAAGTAACACTTTTGGTATCTTGTTTTAAACATTGCAGTTTGTTGAGCAGAATATCAGCATAATACATGGGAACATAAACATCTCTAAAATATCGTTTCAGGTCTTTCCAAGATTGTGGTATTTTGTTATGCCTACAAAGATGTTTCCAATCATTAGAAACATGTTTAACTAAAACACTAGAGGCACACATAACCTTTTGTTTCTCAGACAAGACATGCTTTTGAAATTCACTATCAACCGCTAGCTCCCAATTAATGTAAGCATGAGGATCATAGTTTCCCTCGAAATAAGGCAGTGCAGATTTGATCTTACCTAGAACATTGTCACTTACCTCATAAAGGTCATGTTGATCACTCCTCATGTCTCGACGAAGATGTCGATGGTGAGCACAGCTATCCCCAATTATCTTGCGTATCCCTGCCATTGTTAGTAGAAAACAAGAAACATACACAAAAATATGCGCGTTCCTATTAACTACTATACTAGGTAGTGGCAGCTCAAAAATCACACACACTCAAGCTTTTAACCAAGCTCTTATAAGATCTTACCAATGCAAGCGGAATGGTGACATACACCGACTCAACCAAGCACCCCAATGGAGGTTGGATGTATCGATGCCTTGGCGAACACTTGTTGTACGGCTGCAATCAAATCTGTGGAGCTCTGAGTAGGCTTAAATATGTAGCAAAGGAATAGCAAATGCTCAAATCAGAGAATGCAAAGTTGAATAATTGTTCAAAGTCAAGCACCGTGCTGGTCCTAGGCTAGAACGTACTAGAGACACGAGCCTAGACACAAACGATACCACAAGATAGCACTAGGAACAACTCATGCACAACTCTGATATATGAAGTTCAGCTCAAACATAACAATATTTTC